CGAGATCCAAACCCTCCTTCTTGACTCTACCCGTCGACTCGCGCTCCTCGACGCTGAAATCACGGATTTGCAGAAGGCGATCGACAAACTGGCGGATGAGCGCGAGCGGCTTGGTGCTTACGTGGATGCCCACAAGGCCCTCCTCTCTCCAATTCGACGCCTTCCGCTCGACATCATCGAAGAGATTTTCGCAGCTTGCATTCCGACGCACCGAAACTGCGTCATGAGTGCGGTGGAAGCGCCCGTTCTCTTAGGACGCATTTGCAGCTCCTGGCGGACCATATCCCTCTCGACACCCCGTCTGTGGTCCAGGCTTCACATCGCAGTGCCCAAACGGACCCCTAACTCAGCTGCGCTATTTGATAGGAAGCTGGCGCTGCGACTCGAGACCGCCAAAGTGTGGCTCGGTCGCTCTGCGCAGTGCCCCCTGTCCTTATCTCTGGACTGCGCATTATATACCGATGCCTCTTCGGCTACTCAAATTATCCAGGCCCTACTTCCGTTCGCATTGCGTTGGGAGCACGTCGTATTCGTGGCCCCTTCCTCAGTTCTCGTGGCATTTTCACATCTTACCGAGCTGGATGTGCCTATCCTCCAGTCGGTCCACATGTCTGAGACCTTCGATCGAGACGGGGTCATTTTCCGAGCGGAGGCACTAAGGTTCCTTGGGGGTTCCAACATTCATTCGGCATACATCTCGGGAGCCAATTTCACTCCTCTGGAGTTGCCGCTTCGATGGAATGGTCTGACAGACCTCTCGATTATTAAACTATGGAATGGCAGGGACCCGATACTCTCGATCGAAGCGTCCCTCCAGGTGCTCTCCCAGTGCCCTCAGCTCCGAACCTGCCGGCTAGTCGTTGATGACGAGGCCGACGACAGCCATAGCGACATCGGAGAATCGAGGTTCGAGCTCCCCTTCCTTCATACACTGGTCCTAGACTGTATTGGCGACTCTTCAACCATCATTCCTCAGTTATTCAGCCGCGTTTCGTTCCCACACTTGCGGCATTTCAAGCTTCGCGGAATAAATGATGACTACAGCATTCCTTGTTCGCCGCCGCTGCGCCGCGCATCGAGAGTCTCGATCTCAGCATTGAATTTTTCTCATCGGCGTCTCTTTCTGACTTTCTTCACGGAATACCGCTTGTCATTCGAGAAATCAAGTTCAACACGTACAGCGCGTCTGACCAAACCCCCTCCAGAATACTCGGTGATGAGATGTTAGAGCTCCTCAGCCCATCTCCCGATTTCCCCACCCCCTGCTGCCCGGACCTCGAGGTCCTGGAAATAAACTGCCGCTGCTCTCTTTCAGAAAACGCAGTCTTGCGTCTCATCAACTCTCGCACTGCGCTAAAGCGCTTGGTCGTCCGGTTTGCGCGCGAGATTGGGCTCGACATCCGTCCGCTCGTGCAGAAAATTAAATGAGCTCGATCTCGAGCTCACATATAACATTCCGCTTGAGGAGTGTCCCTTTTCCCCTTGGGGAGGGCTGGCGGATGCGCCGAGCTGATTTCATGACTGCAGGGGCGCCCATATTCCATAATATCAAAGCCCCATAGAAATTTATTCGAACGGTCCGATACCCTTCCATTGAATTTCCAAGTCACGTCGAGATTCATTGTGGTAGATCTGCGTATAGTAGTTTGACAGTAGTCTTGGATTTACGGAACCTCTGGTTTACAAATAGATTGCCGATTTTACGATTTTACCCGCCTCGCAAAATATGGACACCCGGCACAGAGAAATATCATTTCAGTTGTATATGTAGGGCGACGGTGAAGGCTGGCGGCAAATGTAGACGAGTACAGATAGAACGTCGCAAGATGCATCGCATATCGAAATGCTCCGCGATCGCGCAGGCGTAGCCTCGGAAAGAATACCGCAGGGTCGCAGCACGTATCCCCGCGCCTAGCGACGCTCGGCAGGGGCATATCCGCCTCATTACCCCGTGCACTTCCCCGCGCTCTACATCCCACATCCCCGGTCCGCGCCCTGCAGACTGCACCCTGGAGCCCGGCACGTACAGACACTAGCGGCGCGTCCGTCTGGGTCCATAGCCCGCGCCTTGCGACCCTCGCCACAGACCGCATTCCACGCATGTCGTCTCCTCCTCGCGATCCCGTCCACACCGGCTCCCGCGCTGCTCAATCATCATAGCGTGGCGCTGGGCAGGTGCGCGAATCCCAACACAGCGCCGACGGGGAGATACAGCAGGCAGGGCGCACCCTACCGGTGACCGCATCAGCGGTGGGCTCTAGCGCCCACAGATCAGAAGGCGAATGCGCGGCGAGACCGCAACGAGCACCGAGGGATCACGCCCAGACGCGCCCCGAAGGAGGTGAGGACGGGTCGAAGGAAGGAGGGTTGCGAAGGAAGGAGGGTTGCGAAGGAAGGAGGGTTGCGAAGGAAGGAGGGTTGCGAAGGAAGGAGGGTTGCGAAGGAAGGAGGGTTGCGAAGGAAGGAGGGTTGCGAAGGAAGGATGTGCGCGAGTGGAGAAAGGCGGATAACGGGGAGGAGTGGGAGGGAGGAGTGGATGTGGTAGAGGAAAGGGCGCGGGACGGGGGGTGGAGTGGAGTGAACGCGAGAGGAAAGAAGGTAGAAGGGAGGGAGGACGGCGCGCGGAGGGAATGGCGAAAATGAGGAAGTAAGAAAGAGAGGAGAGACGTCCACCGTCCACCGCCTTTCTCTGCTTCGGGCTCGGGCTCGTGGGGTGCTCTTGCGCGAACGTGTGCAGGCGCCGCAGACGTAGTCACCTCTCCTGTATCCCCTCCCCCTCTTGCCTCTCCATCACGCGACACAGGCGCGAACGACGCGCCTTGCCTCTCCACCCGCGGCCCCGCCCAGATCTCCCTCCCCTCTCCCCTCTGCCACTTGCCCGCTCCCTCCCGTTGCCGCTGTTTTGAGATGCCTTTGTTTCCCCAGATGCGGATGGATGCGCGCGCAACAGCGCACTGCATGCTTCGCCGCCGTACGTGTGTCAAGACTCGGAGGGTTTGGGGAGCTGCTCTGAACGCGGGGTGAGGGGGAGGGCGTCCTGTAGCGGTATCGGGATGGGTGAGTGGACGGGGGCGGGCGTCTGCTTCTTCGGCGTTGCTCTCAGCGCGTTTGAGGGAAGAAGGGGAAGAGGTAGAGGAGGACGAGGTAGTGGAGGGGAGAACAGAGCCCGAGGCAGCGAGGAGCACTTGGTGCTTTTATGCTCGCTGGAACCTGCCGGCTTCGTACTCGATCTGGCGCGCGCTCGACACAGGGAAGCCCCAGCGCCAGGCCAGCTCCTGCAGCAGACGGTCGCGCAGACTAAGATCGAGTCGAACGGCGGGATGGGCGACAGCAATCCCGCTCTGCGGTGGTGGTAGCGCGAGAAGTCACGGCGGGCGTGCTTGGGCCGAGAGGTCGATGCTGTTGCAGTGACTCATGTTAGCACTAGCCCAAGGAAGGGAAGTGGAGACTCATGGAAGGCAAGGCAGAAACCCACGGGAGGCTTTGTCGTTCTCTGCGTCGAATCGATGCATAGCGCACGACGGAAGCTGTGTAGCGGTACAGTTGTTTAGGCCACCGGCGCGCGCTCGCCAGCAGCGCGTGGCACTCGAATGGGCGGCAGCAACCTCAGTGTCGGCGTCGGTGGCTCGTCGTCGTTTTCCATTCTCGAGGTGGATTGTGAAGGAATGAGGCTGGAGATGGATGATGTATAGGCACGAGAGACCGCTCGGGAGGGTGTCTGCGTTGAGACTAGGACTCGGAGGTGAGGATTATTATGAGAGGAATGTGGCTGTGCGCCACCGGTTTCTCTCTTCAACTTTTTCTGGTTTTCTGCAGATCTGGTTGCCAGTCGGGATCCTGCCCGACGACTTGCGGTCTAACGTCGATGCGTCGGAACCGGACTCTATGCATATGTCTGCCTGGTCTCCGAGTGAACGAACGGAAGCCAGCCCCAACTTGAGTCCACTGTCCGAGCGGCAACCGAGTTGCCTCAGAGCTTCGCCCGCCCGATCTCTAGAACACTTCGAGCGTTGGTTTGGTCAAGAGCCCTTAGCTGCGCGCCTCAGATTAGTCTGGCGAATTCTACCCCTCCGACTCCCAATTTCGAGTTTGGCGAATGGGGCGACTACATAACCTGGACCTCGCGCCTATGTCTTCCGAGTCAACGCTTGAACCACCGATTGCTCAATCCCACTTACTACGAATCATGCACCACTGCAAGACCCCGCTCCGCTCGACCCGTCTGTAGTTATCCCTCGCCGCTTCACAAACGTCCTGCTCGCGCTCGATGCTATCTGAAGCTCTAACACTCCACGGTGCCGCGTCGGCCGTCTGTCATCAAGTTGAGGACCCCAAATTCAACGTCTAATGCAAAATGCATCGTGTCCAGCTTATTTTGCCCCTCCAAGGTCGCTCCAAATCAAATCAAATGGAATATCTACGCTCTCTGGCCGAGTTAAGTATGTATCCGACTGCACGCTGTCTCTGTCCGAGTCAAGTCTTCTGTCCGAGTCGAGTACTCAACCATTCAATCACACGCTCTATCTCTGTCCGATCTCTGGTTCAAGATTCAACTCACCTATCCACATCCCCATGGACCACTGCAAAAACACATCTCACCGAGGGGTTAATATTACTCCCGCCCGATCCGAATTCACAGCTCCAGCTCTGTTCGCCTTCTGACCTCTACAACCGTGCATCGTCTCTCCATCATGTTCCGCTCCGACTCGTGTCCGTCTCCCTCTCCATCGCGCAGAGAGTCCTCTCCCAACTACGCTTACTTTCGCACTGACTACAGCGGAATGAATAATCGCTCTTGCTCTCCGCGTCCTGTCCTCGATTTATTCAAATTGACGCCCACCCCCTGCCAGTGCGTCGACTCTGATGGAAGTGTGCAGCCCGCAGACGGGCGCTGAATTAAACGAGCGTGTCATGTTAAACTTGCAGTACAGTCGAATTCATGTTCAACTCGAGTGGTCGAAGTGCATCATCTATAAAACTTGAGTTTCACATTTATGTAAGGTCTGGTGGTGTAGTGGTTACACACCCCCTCTTCATAGTAGCTTACTCGACATTGTACATGTGGGAGTTCCTTGTTCGACTCAAGGCCAGGCCATAAGCTTGAGGCGATGCTTTTGGCATTTCCCCTTCCTATTTCTTCTACGCTACCGGAAATTGTACATGTAATCAACTTGAGGGAGCATAAGACAGGTTTGGTGGTGTAGTGGTAACACATCCACTTCTGCTCAGGAGGAAGATGAGGTATTTTCTGTGGGAGTTCCTTGTTCGATTCAAGGCCAGGCCATATGCATGTTGTTCTTTATCTTGCTTTTTAATTTCTTCCGCGCTGGCAAAACCTGTGCATCTATTTACGTTGAGAGATTCCATATGAATGGCCTGGTGTAATGGGAGCATCCCGCTTTATTTCCGGAATTTCAGGAAGCCTTTGCAGGAGTCCCTTGTTAAATTCAGGACCGGGCCATTGGTTTGTCGTTGTTGGGTTTTTGTTTCTACACAATTTTGCAGCGCTCCAAAAGCGCCTCACATTTCAGCCCGCTTTCAATCAAGATTCAGTTTTTTAACTCGCAAAACTACCGCGCTGCAGAGCCCCAGACGCGTTGTATTTCAAAAGTTGTTTCCCCATCAATAAGTCCCGCGTGATCGCGCCACTGCCACTCCTCATGCCATCATGTCTTCTCCATTCACCTCCAAACTCGGGACCAACTACTGTCCCCAAGACCGGGAGATATTCGAGATTAAAATGTTCCTCGTCGACCCCATCCGTCGACTTCAGCGGCTTGACGATGAAATCACCGATTTGCGGAAGGCGCTCGAGAAACTGGCAGCTGAGCGCGACAGCCTCGACGCCTACGTCGACGCTCATAGAGCCCTCATTTCTCCGGTTCGACGGCTTCCACTCGACATCATCCAAGAAATCTTCATAGCCTGCATTCCAACGCACCGAAACTGCGTTATGAGTGCCAGCGAGGCGCCTCTTCTGCTAGGTCGCGTATGCGGCTTGTGGAGAACCATTTCACTCTCGACGCCCCGCCTGTGGTCGAGACTTCATGTAGTGGAGCCTCTCTGCATATCTAACTCGGCCCTTGCGCAGTTCGAGGAGAAGATGGTGCAACGAGTGGAGACCACCAAGACGTGGCTAGGTCGATCCGGCCAGTGCCCCCTCTCCATATCGCTGCAATGCGCAGTTCACGTCATCGATTTCCCTTCGGCCACCCAAGACCTCCTCCAGGCCCTGCTTCCATTTGCATCCCGTTGGGAGCACATCAGCTTCACGACCAGTTCTTCAGTTCTAGCGACCACGTCGCACCTTACCGAGGCGGATGTGCCGATGCTCAGGTTGGTGAACATCCGCGAATACCCTACCGGAAACCCGGAAGATACTGTCCCATGGGACTCGCTGGGCTTCCTTCGTGCCCTCGAAATATCTTTATTTTCCGTTTTCTGCGTTGGAATCAGCAGTCCGCTGGATTTACCGCTTCGCTGGAACGGCTTAACAGATCTTTCACTCGTTTCTGGCTGGTCAAGTGAAATATCCCTGATGGTTATCTCTCGGTGTCCTCAGTTGCGGACCTGCCGCCTGGCCGTGGACTTTGCTCCCGAAAATGGCAACCGAATAGGAGAGCCTAATCTCGAGCTTTCCTTCCTCCATACACTGGACATAAAGTATTATGGCAACTTTTCGAATACTGTTGGCGAGTTGTTTACCCACCTCTTCCTGCCGCAATTGCGGCATTTGAAGCTTCGCGGAGCTCTGAATTATGCGGACGAAATCTCCTACAGCCCCTTGTCGGCCGCTGCGCCTCTCATCGAAAGTCTCGAGCTCGGCCTTGAATTGTTCTCGAGGCCTTCTCTCGCTGATTTCCTTCGCGAGATACCGCCTACCGTTCGGGAAATCAGTATTGTCGCGAGAGACCCGGACCCGCGGTCAGTGATCGAGGACAGCTTTTTTGATGACGAGATGTTGGAATCTCTCACCCCCTCTCCGGATCTCCCCACTCCTCGTTGCCCAGGCTTACAGGTGCTCGAAATAGACCACCCCTGCTCCTTTTCCGACGAGGCGCTCTTGCGCTTCATCAAATCGCGGATGTTGACGCGTGTTGTACTTCGCCTTGGCCGGGAGATGGAGTTCGACCTCCGTCCGGAATTGCAGCCATTGATCCAGAGTGGGCTTCACCTCGCCCTAACGTACGACGGTCGTCAGCCTGCGCCTGCGGCGCTCCACCTTTCACCTTGGGAAGGTTTGCTCGACGCGCCGAACTTCCTTCACAATCCTTGAATGTAGGGAATTAAATCAAATGATGGGAATATTTCACCTATCTTGATCGTAGCGTACATACATACATACCTACGTGTTTGAACCTTAAAATTGACCATTTGTCCTTCTGGCTGCAGTAGAGCGACGCGTTCTGCGATAAAGTGACCAGTCGTATAATACCTTGTGATGGTTTGCCTCGGTTCAAAGTATTCACTGCGTTCAAGCCCCGAATAGCCACAGGGGAGCATCGCCGGCCGTCTGTGGAGCCATGCGGCTAGCAGCGGCTAACGCCCACGCAAAACCATATAATGTCCGCGGACTTCCCCTTTTGGTACTGGTGATCGCGGGTCTGTCCCCGATAACCGCGTTTCGTCCAGAGTTTACCAGGCTCACCCACTAGGCCAATCCAAGCTTAGATCTCGTAATAGGGCTATGTACACATCTTAAAAACTACGAGAAAAATAAATCTGGGCTTCTCCGCGGCCCTAATATTGAGCAATATTTTGGCGTGTGCCGTCCGGCTTCTGTCACGATCAGTGCGCTTAAATGATGTGACATTTAGTTCGGTTTTCACCAACTGCTCGCACGGCGGCGACGACGCACGCTCCTTTCTCAGACATCCACCCCGGCATCGACACCCCGGGGAACAGCGCGCGAGCCCAGCAGTTCTCAGCCCACTGCTCTTACCAAATACCGCACGGAGGGCCGCAAAAATCTTGAGCAGAAAGCCAACGTCGTGCCCATCGAGCTATTTATCTGTTGTGGCATCCCACCCCGCATTATTGGGAGGGAGGAGTTCACGCATTTTGTTAAAACCGCCAGCCAATGGAACTACAAAGTTACCAGCCGCACGAAATTCGAAGACGCCCTCGTTCCTGCTTATGCTGCAAGCGTCCGAACCGCGGTCATCGATCCCATGCAGACCTGCTAGTTTTCAATGATAACGATCAGCACCGATGGCGGCAAGCTCTCGAACAAGAAATTTGTATCCGTTTACATAACTAACGTCCACCGCCAATTATTTTGTGTTGATCTCGATGATGTTTCCCGCGTGAGCCAGACGGGCAAGTACTTTGCTGAGCTTCTCACGAAGGTACAGGTTTATCGCCAGTCCATTTACCGCGTCTGACCAGCACTTCAGTGGATTGAAAAATTTGGCCCTTCTCGATTCTGTGCCGTCGCATCTGACAACGCGAGCCCTTTAAGAAAAGGCCGACACTTGACGGTGACCAAATTTCTCCAAATTTTCGACTTCGCAGATGCCTGCCATAATTTGCACAATGCATGCAAAGATATCTGTAACATTCCTGTCTTCCAGCCGGTATGCAATCCTTGTGAAAAGAAATGTCGCGAAATGCTAACATTCACACGTAGATAATTGCAGAACTCGAAGAAATTCTCGCATTCATGAGCTTATCCAGTTATTCACAGAATTGGTTTGATGAGACGCGCAAGAGTTTGGGGATCTCCCGCGGCCTTCAATCGGTTGGAGAAACACGCTTCGCGACAATTTATCGGAGCCTCGATTCGGTACTTCGCGGCATACCCGAATTTTCTAGCATCATCCGTAATCGGACGCTGGGAATTGACGCTGAGGTACACTACATGTTCTAGCAATGAACTGGGTTATTGATTGAGATTTAGATGCTTAAGAAGCACTTTCTAGACAACGAGGACGTGTATAAGTTCCGGCGTGATCTCACTCGACTCGTCTCGGTTCTGATGCCATTTGCCTGGGCAATGCTGTGCCTCGAGTCAAAAGACACAACTCCTGCCGATGTCTATTTGTACTGGTTGGCGCTCGTTGCGCAACTCAACGATCTCATCAGCAAACACGATGATGCTGGCAATAAATCAAAATATGCAACGACAGTCAAGGAGCTCATCAGGAGCATCGCGAATTTCCAGTTCTTACAACTCATCGAAGAGGAACACGCGTCCAAGGCATAATTCACTGTGTTTGTGCTGGATCCAGGTGTGTTTTTAGTATGCGACCGGTCCATACTGATGGATATTAGACAATTGAGGCGCTAGCAGTTCAGCCCGTAACGTTATCGTTCACAGCCGGTCATTTGCAAACATCAGGCCGATGGATGATGAAAATAACAGGTTCCAGCAGAAACAGGGTAGGGTGAAGAAATCCGGATGTGTATGGTCACCTGGTAATTTTTGCGTGAGAGTCTGTGTTTGAAGTGTCATAAATGTCACCGGAATCACAGGATTTCGTGGACTAGTCACTGAGATCCATAAAGACTGGACAGGAAGTTGATGTGGATGGGGACTGGAAATCGTCAGGAGTCAGACCATATTTTCATTTGGCTAGGACCATAATATCATCCTGGATGGACACAATCCCAAGTGAGAAGATGCATATGTCAAGATCTATTGCGGGCCATGTCAGTAAAGTGTGCAATATAGTCGCAGCCGCGAGAATCGAACATAGCAGAGTCTCAAAATAGTCATTGTGGATTGAGGTTCTTCATATCGGGGTCGGGTGAGGCAACCAAGGGGATGATAGCTTGCCGGTTATTTTTTCCCGAAAGTACACCTTTGAAGCATTATAATTATCATCGGGATCAAAGGAATCGGTGAAGCGGTTGTTGAGATCCATAAACACAGGACAGGAAGTCAATTTGATGCAGACCAGAAATCATTGATCTCTGGACGGGATTTTGATATCCCGTAGACAGAATTGATATTCCATGGGGTCAGAAAGGGTTTAGGAGGGGTACTACAACAGCTTGCGGCTAGGTACAGGAAGTTCAACACAGCCGAACATAAACAGCTTGGGGGGTGAACATGATGTGTTGACTACCTGGACCCAATACCCTTACTGAGCTGACAGAATATATTTTCGTAGGACAGAATCATGATTCCCCGGGACATTTATAGTACACGCAACGCCCACAGCAAAAGCTCCGCAGGCGTTGCCGCCAGCTAGCCGAGGGCTAGCCGAAGGCTCGCCGTAGCCTAGCCGAACACTTAGCCATCACCTTGCTGGCGCTCCGCGGGCTGTGGCTAAATTGCCG